ATAACCACACAGAAATCTGGAAATGTTTTTTTAACCGTGTTAGCCGAATCATTTCTTGAGTTTGGGATTTTAATTTAAAAACAAAAAACAAAAAACACCTGACCATTTAAATGCAAGAAGCCTAATTGGTTTGGTTACACATTCAGACACAAGGCATGCATTTGAGAGATTATTATTGGGTAGCAGTTCTTACATAACTTCTTTGAACCAATAGTGTTTTTAATTCATCACAGACTGCACATTTTCCATATAGTAACATCACAGCGAACAGAAATGTGGTCAGATAATGGAGAAAAGCAAGAACTTTCTTTGAATAGTATTGCCAGTCAAAGTACATAGGTAATATTAAGGGAAGGGTTTTTTTATTTCTGTAATCTTGTTTCCTTGCTTCTTCATGTGCTTTGTTTCAAATTACATAAAGATAATGCAAATGCACATGTTCATTCATTCACAAGCCACACATATATAAGTACACTGTATCCATTTGGCTGGAAATTGTACAGAACAACTCCTAGGTTTCCAAGAAAGAAGGAGCTATTGGCAGAAGAATGAAGCTGACATATCTTTTTGGTCCAAGAGAAGAAGCTGTTGGAGATAAATCAAGAAGCAGGATACAGCTATAAATAATTCTTTAAGAGAGTGGAGCTAAATGGGAAGGAGAAGACTACTTAAAACGATTTTCTTCTTTCAGGAGCACTTCAGAAACCCTAGGGGAAAACATAAAATATATGGACCATTAGAATTTTGCTGCTCAGGAATGAGGGATTTTTTTATAGTTGTCTTTACTTATTTGCCCTTGTCAATTGTCATTGTGCTATATCTTTCACTATCATATTTTGAGAGTAAAATATAGTAATTTATAAAAGTTAATAGTTCTGCCTTCAAGTAATTGCTATGCAAATCAGCTTCTGGTTAGTATCAATCACATGCCTGCAGATTTGTCAAGCATTCGTAGATCACTTCCAGCTGTATAAAGACTACCTACTTATTTCTTTCTAGCATATGGCATCCCATACTTTATAACGACATACAGAAGCCCCATTTTAGAGCAGTCTGATTGCCTTTTCTCCTTCAACACATTGATACATCCAAGCTCTATAAAGGATCAAAGCAGACCTTCACAATGCAAGGGCTGGCAATATTTTGTAAACCTCATCCAACCATTTTTATTAGTCTCCCGAAGGACTGTTTTTTTAAAAAAATGTAGAATAGTTGACCAAATTGTTTTTCTCTTGGGAAAAAAAAAATGCAAGTGCTCAGCAAAACAGCATGTTAACCTGTACAGTATCCATGAAGAAAGTTGTGTTGGATATCAACAGGTTTGGGAATAAATAAATTAGATTCTGTGAGCTAGTACAGCAATGGTGGAAATGATTAGATTGCTTAAAGGAAACTAATATTCTACAATACATTTTCTCAGAGCATCCTTGGAGAGCTGTGTCAAAGCTTTATATAGTAGTAGAGAGAAAGGAAATGTCCTAAACCTTATTTTCACCTTTCTACCTAATAATAACCATGTAAATTCATCTTGTACACTGTAGGTCATACAGATGCATAGAGATCCTATAGTTAGACTCTGAGGTATGCTGATAGTTTCCATTCATGTTTCAGCACTTTTTCCTGTAGCATGTAAAGCAGGGGTGTCAAACTGCCGGCCCATGGGCCAGACGCATCACGTGGAAGCCATGCCCACCCTATTGCTGGCAATGGCAAAACCGGCCCGATACGTTGCGCGACGTCACGTGATGTCGCGAGTTTGACATGCCTTGTTCTCTATGCAAGTCAGCCCCTGAAATTTTTCTATTAATGAAACTCCACTAAAAGGTTTTGCTAAAGACCTTGTCTTATGTTATTCATTCTTTCACTGGAGTACCCCATATTTGTCTCTTTTGAGCTGTTTTAAGTATTCTTTTAAACCCTATATAAATTTGCTCTGTATAACCCCTCAGTAAGGATCTCGTTGTAGGATTTCTCTGTCCAACTTCTAATCCTTTCAGTAGGTGCAGTGTGATTTCTACAGCAAAATTTAATTCATTCTAAAGGGGAAACAGAACAGCTGAAAAATAAAGCTACAATGGCCTTGAGGAAGAATTTTCACTCTTAGTAAGATTAATGAATATTTTTTTAAATTGTGGAACTTTAGTATAGTTGCTTTTGACAGTATAAATCATCTTCATTTGAAATTCATGGAAACCTTTCCTTTATGGATCATTTGGGCATAAAAGAAATTCATACTATTTGACAAGAATATTCCATCCCCTTCTATCTGTTACACTGAAATTAGAGTATTATGTATTAATTATGTGTTTATGCTTTAAAAGTAAGCATCTCTGGTTAAAAAAATAGACTTTATAGCAGAACATTTTACTGTATCCAAGCAAACTGAGGGCAGTGAGTTCCATAGTCACGTGAAGCTACAGTGATAAAAACAGAATGGCCACAGGACTATCTGCATTTGTAGAAGACCATATTACATCAATTGACAATACCAGAGGCAAAGATAGGCCTAAAGAGGGGTGCGGTTACAGTCCCTTTTTTATAGATATACTGTAAGCAAATTAGGATATACATGTGATTGTCTAGAGCAGGTGGGTATTTCATTGGCTATAATACATCCTGTGTGTCTAGTGAAGTCATCGAGGCCATTAGGAGTAACTATGAGGCAATGGGGTAGGACTGTAAAGACAATGGGCTTTTGAAAAAAACAAAGACGCAGTTATTCCATGAACCTCATTTAGCAACCACAATTGAAACCAGCAGCTTTGTTATTAAGCAAAGTGGTTGCTAAGTGAGAAATCACATAACCATGGCTATGCTTTCCTTTTTCCCATTCCCTCACCCTGGCAGAGTGGGAGAGATTGCTTAAACAAGCAAGGGGTGGGACAGTGAAAAAATGGTCTGGGTACCTACTTAGAATAGGCTATAATCCACCATTGCATAAGGTGCCTTCTTCTGATTTACTTGGAAACTCTTCCCCAGTGAGAAATATATTTTCTAAGGTTTGCATTAGTTGTGCACAAACGTTTGTGAAGTAGTTTCTATGTGTTTTTTGGGCACATGCATTGCTTCCAGTTGACAGCAGGATCTGGGTAACACTTGTCCTGAGTTCTGAAACTTTTCCATTATTATCAAATTCAGTGAAAGAACTGAGCAAGTATTTGTTTTGTGAACTCATAAACATTATTATGTTACAGAAACCTTATTTTTAAAGAGCAATAATTCAATTTGTTATAAAATTATTCTTGGCATAATAGCTACTTTTCAAAATTTACAATAAGGAAACAGACCATTTTTCCTTATTTCTAAAAGAAATTAATAAGCAAATCTCCTTGCTTTTCTCCCCCAACACATTTGATGCAAATGCTTTTATGTTACACACACTGGATAGGGCTCTGACTTATAAAGGATTGGGGAGTTGGGGCAGTTGAATCACAGGTTTGGAGATCCTGTTTTATGAAACAGCTGCCTATTGTAGATCCTGGATGTTTTTTTAAATTCATTTTTATAAATATTAAATTTCTTTAGAAAAATAAGCCATAGGCATTACAAATTAAGCATACTGAAATTCAATATTCAGAATGACAATTCCAAATATGAGCACCATAGTTAAAATCAGGAGGGAGTACCCCTGGCTGAGAAGTCCAGTTCATTTCAATTTATTGTCGTAAGTGTAAGAGAGGAAATTAAAGATTTTTTTTTAAGATTTAGAATTGGTTGAGGGTGAAGGTTCGTTCTCCGAGCTTGTGGGTTAGTTTCCAAACGTTTTGTTACAAGGCTAGGTAACATCTTCAGCAGATGTTGTCTGTGTCAGTGCTCTTCTGTTTATAAGGCCTTTAAGTGTGGGTGTGTCAAGTTTCACTATACAGTCTAAACTGTAAATAAATGTTATGAGAGAATTTTTTTTCTGTAAGTGTATGATACATAAATCAGTTGACTGCAGAAATTATTGAAGTCACAAAGTATACTTAGCAAATGGAAGATAGACAATTGCCCATTTTAGAGTAAATCTTTATGTGTAATTAAATGCTATGCAAACCACTGAAATGAGGCTTGATCTTTGCACGCACAGCATCCCATCTTTAAGTCTTCCTCTTTGAAGCTGCAAGCAGGATAGATCTATAGAATGACCTATCACAGCTAAGTCAAGTCCCTTAGCAGTGTTGAATATTAGGACCTAGAATATAATTACTGTTACGGAAAGTGTTACACGTACATTTGCTAATAATAACGAAGCTTAAAATATCAGTACAGTGGAAATCATAGGACACACTGTTTTTCCCTACTGGCATAAAAATATAAGATTATATTTAAATGGTAAAACTGCATATCAAACTCATATAATTAATCATTTATATAGATGGTTCAATAGCTTTAAAATAGCAGTTTCCCTTTTAAGTTGATAATTATGAAGACATGCAATTTTACATTGTTGTTTATTGGCATTTTACATTTATTTTATAACATTTATTTTGTATATTCTAGTCATATAGTATATGCTGTATATTTAATGTGGACTTTATAATGAACTCAGTGTTCAAATATTGATATTTCTATTTTTCATACTCAGAATGCCGAAGACTATAACTAATCCCCTTTTGGATGGGTGATATAGTTTGAACAATTTCTTGTTTTTGGTAATTTACTAATCAACTATTAGGTGTTGCTTTCTACTATGGGAAAATTTGCTCTCACATTCAGGCAGCTGGAGAAAACTTCCACTTTTGACTCATACAGTAGTAGTAGTAGTAGTAGTAGTAGTAATAGTAATAATAATAACAACAATGACGATGATGATGATGTTGGAAGGGACCTATTCATAGAACATTCCTTTAGAAAGATAATCTAGTGATTTTTGCAAGTTTGACTGAGAATCAATGTTCTTCTCAGTAAGAAATGACTTCTGCCTTGTTTAAGCTGTCAAGAATCATTCTGATTGTGGTGGCATAAAATATGTTTTATAAATTAAAAAATTAATGGTATTTTTTTCACACATACTTTAGGTATAATTAATAAATCCTCACTTACCCTTGACATCAGTGATTTCCTTATAAAGACAAGTCTTCAGGAGAAAAGCAGGACTTTGGTTGGACCTACGTGCTGCTCTGTCACCATAGAAGCTAAATGGTGTAAACATAGCGGGAATCCTGGTCCCGAACTGGCTACTCCAAAAGTCTGTGTCGATATAAGAGGTGGACTGATCCAGGTCTGTATGTAGAAAATCATTTGAAATTGTGGACAGAATGAGTATGGACAATCGAAAGTTTTGCTGAGTTAGAGAAAATTCTTCTGATTTAAGGAAATCTTACACCCAGTGTATTTTATTTTAATATGTGGAAATGACATAACAGTTCTCTATATTCTATGGCTTATTAACAACATCCTTTTATGAATAGAATATATTATGTCTATCATTTTTTCCTACAGCTCTAAGTAAATTTCAGTCTTGTAGTCTGAATTTCAACTGTTTTGAAAACATTCAAAGGAAATGACTTCACAGTGTTGCTTATTATATATAATTTTATATTCCTTCTACGTAATAATTTCTGATCACTTGAAAATAAAACCAGAAAATAGTTGTATGGCAGATGACCAGACACTGGCAGCATATTCTCTTGAGGACTGTGTTTATATTCTACTTTTAGCCAAGATAGAGTCCTAAAATTGTTTGCATTTAGNTCTTGGGAGAGAAATGAAGAAGACTTGAGGAAATGAACTGCTGTTAGGCAATTTTGTTTTTCTGATAGATTGTTTTCCTTTCCTGGTTTGCTTGTATAATGTAGATGCATAATGTAGTTAACAATATATAATCCCAGAATCTTCCAGTCTAATCCCCAGACCAGGGGTAGGCAACCTTGGCTCTTTTATGACTCGTGGACTTCAACTCCCAGAATTCCTGAGCCAGCTGGCTCAGGAATTCTGGGAGTTGAAGTCCACGAGTCATAAAAGAGCCAAGGTTGCCTACCCCTGCCCCAGACTGACTGGAAATATCTGAGTTGAAATCGAAATAATATGTAGAAAAGAAAGATGGGAAAGGCCATACTAAAGTATGTAGGTGATACAAAATTAATTATCTACAGTAGTGCTTTAAAGTTTGTGATCTCTTGAATTTTCTGTGTTTCTGATCAATATGACCTAAAACAAATCCCCAAACTAGACAAAGAGAATACAATTAAACAAATGAGTCAAAATATACTTGATTATTTATTTATTGAAAGGAAAGACAAAAACAGTTTTCTTGCAGAGCACTATTAAGAGATTTCATACTTTTTCTTTATATTTAACATAAATCTTGCTTTAAGATTTTTGCAATGAAAAATTCTTGCTGCTATAAATACCTTCTGCCTTCAGGACCAGGATCTGAATTTTTAAACCCTTTATGATGCATGAACCTGTTTCTCTGATAAATCTAAAAAAGTTCTAGACTAAACTTTTTAAAAATTAAGTTACCAGAAAGAATTGGATGTAAAGTATTTTTTTTTTTATGTTGCTCACTATGATTTTTCTTGTTACAAGGTTTTTTGGGGACAGGAACATTTGAACTGCTTAGTTCTTCTTAATGAACTTCTGGAAACATATCTTGTTCAAGAAGACAAAACAGAAGGACAAAGGGCCAATCAAATATATCCGGTACAATTTTCAATGGAGAAGAATCAGATTTCTAAAACAGAACATACTTCAGATGATCTACGAACAGGCCTATTCCAGTATATACAAGATACAGGTATTATATAGCAGTTATGGAGTAATTTTATACTAGCCTGCAGTACTGAATATTACTTTTCTTTAGATAATTTTTAACAAATTAATAAAGGCATCTGTATTTTTAAAAATTTGTGGGTGCTTTTAAAAATTGGATTTCATTTTATTTTTTCTTCTTTTAATTTATTTTAACTTCATTGTTCTCATATACTAGGACATTCTTTAGGTAAAATATTTTTCTTCCTCCATTTCATCTCAATTTAATAGATACACAAAAACTACCAGGTGCCTATGAAGTTGTGTTTTACAATGAAACCGAGGATGATGCAGGAATGATGTTATGGAGATATCCAGAGCCCAGAGTGCTCACCCTTGTGAGAATCACCCCAGTTCCTTTTAACACCACCGAGGATCCAGATATTAGCACTGCAGATCTTGGCGATGTACTTCAGGTTGGTAGCATTTTTATTAATTTGGAAAACAACTTTCAGAATACCAATTGGAAATTAGTTTAAAAAATAAAAATACATCCCGGAACAGCAAAAAGACAAACAGTGGTACTTCATAAGAAATTATGGATTCTCAATTTGTTAAAGCTAATTTATTAAATTTGTATGTCACCTAACTTCAAACAATTTCCAATCTTTGATTTCAGTAAATCTTTAAAAATAAAAATATATGGTAGTTTGCAGATGTAATATTACAAAGAAGATGGAGATTTAATATAATATTTGGGTTTTTTTCTATGTTTTTTCTAATATTTGTAGGGCATTGCTTTGTCTTGCAAGTAATTTAGAGCTAATCTGGAATGGAAACCACATAGAAATCTTAGAAATAACTAACTACAGGTAGTCTTGTTCAGCAACCACCAGTGCAGCCTTCTCCAGTTTTTCTTCACTCATGCTGCACTATCCATTCATGCATCCCTTATGCACCCTTATAGAGCATTGTCATGCCTCCTTGTATGCTTTCATATCTTTCCCAAACCTCACCACAGTTCCTTCACACCCATGCACACCGAGCAGGAGCCACTTATTTGCCTGCTGGCCCTCTTCAATTAACAACAGGAATAAGAACTACAGGGATTCCTTTTGCTAAGTGATGCAGTTGCACTTATATCACCATATCTCAATTCCACTCCCAATTGCCGTCATAAGTCAAGTACTACTTGTACACAGTATAAAAAGCAAAAACATTCCGTGTTGTGGTTAAAGCATTGAATGAGGACTAATTCAAATGACAGCCACAAAGTTCACAGAGTGAACTTTCAGCCTTAACTTTTGTTTACCACATTGGATTCTTGGTGAATATAAGTATGAGCAGGTGAATCCCATTCACAGGTTTGAACTTGTCAGAGGAAACACAGAACATAAATTTAATATACACTGCTGTTTCTTCACACCTTTTTTGTTTTCCCTTTCTCTACTGTTGTCCCCTACTATTTACTTTTGTATCTTGACATTTTATGTTATAAATGAATAAAACTAATAAAAAATACAGTGCTATTTTGTTCACACTGTTTTGGAAAAATACGATTAATTTCATCCTATCATTCTTAAGCAGTAACCATTTATAGCAGGTCTCGTTGAAGTTTAGGAAAGATCAAACTTCAGAAATAAATCTTTGGAAAAGCAGGAAATTTGCTTGATTTGGGTTTTTCTGTGTGCCATAATTGCATTTTTGGCACTTTGTAAAATATAAAATGAAAAGAAGGAATATTGAACACATTTAATAAGTAGTTTCCACCGACGAGGAGCTCCTTCACACCCATGCACACCCAGCAGCAGCCACTTAATGGCCTGCCGGCCCTCTTGTTGGCCTGCTTATGAGCTGCCTGGGATGTACAACTTGCTGCTGGCTTCCTTGCTGATTTGATTGTGAAAGCCAGCAGGAAGTTTCCTCACCTAACGACCATGGGATTTGATTAACAACAGCAATAAGAACTAAATGTATGAGCTGGATATTTATTTCTAGCACCATGTTCAACTATAAATAGACTTTTTTTTAAAAAAAAAATGCTGCTTCATATAGCGCTCCCTAAAATAGTGCCTAAAGAAAATACAGGATTTGGGGCAACTGTCTTGAAATTAGACACAAGTCATAACTTTAAGAAAGATTTGACACAGCAAGCCATGAGAAAACAATTATGAGGCGCATCAGAGGCATTCATATTTTTTCAGAGAGAATACTTCATTTTGTGCTCACTTCTGTCTTTTTGTTTTACATTTCCCATTGAGATTACAATGTTGAGCTGGCATTTGAGAGCCTGGGAAAAGAGCTTTTTGGAAAACCACACATTTTACTGATGTTTGAGTCATTTCTCACATTTCAGAAGCAAGTATTTTGGAAATCCAAATAATTTGTGTATGACATGCAGTGATTTAAGTTCTTGGTATTAGCAAAGAAAGCCATAAAAATTCTACCACAGTTATCTGGAAGGAAGGAATTCTTCTCTGGCTTAAAAGACTTCAGTTTTAACCAATCTCATTGCCTTTAATTGGGAAATAGAATTAGTACAGCTTTTTATTCTTTTGCACTGGATTTAGCAATAAGTCCTGTAGATCCTAAATGTTTCCTGAAAAAATTCAAGGGTTGAATTTTTATCTGAACAATTGGCTTAAAAACAAATAAGGCAGTATTATATGTCGGAATTCCCATACTTGCAAAATAATGCTAAATTGGAGGATCATTCTATAATACAGAAATACAGAATAACAGAGTTGGAAGGGACCTTGGAGATCTTCTAGTCCAACCCCCTGCTCAGGCAGGAAACCCTACCAGGGGTGTCAAACTGTCAGCCCGCGGGCTGAATGTGTCACGCCAAAACTGCACCCACCCCATTGTCAGCAATGGGAAAAAAGTCACGATACATCACGACATGTCATGAGATGTCGCGAGTTTGACACCAGTGCGCCATTTCAGACAAATGGCTATCCAATCTCTTTTAAAAAACTTCCAGTGTTCACAACTTCTGGAGGCACGTTATTGCACTGATTAATTGTTCTAACTGTCCAGAAATAATAATAATAATAATAAGAGGTAGGGATTTATTTTGTTTTATTAACAGTAGATGCCACTGATTTTTTTAAATGTTTTATTTTAATATCTGTAAAGAGTGAAAACTGTCTCTTGTTTTCAAGGAAGTATAACCCATACTTTATCTTGACTATCAGGTTAGTCTTAGTGCTATACCTTGGTGGAGTAGATTTTTATTAGTTTCTCCCAATAAACCAGGTACACTTATTCCCGTAGAAGAAAGACTTAGTGGTGGTAACACTTGCAAACTCAAAATTGGTTTATTAGCAATTTCCTTTTTGTACAGTAGCCTGTGAAGACAGACTTGAGTCATGAGAAATTGAGCAGATTAATTAATTACCGTCAGTCCAAAATTTGCACTTGGCTAAGAATGTGGTAGCAGAGGAGATGAATGATATTTCCAGCAAATGTCCCAGTACCCTTTGTTGGGATAGCTGCACTTGGTTATTGGTTCCTTCTGGGTTCAAATCAAAGTTCTAGTTCTGTTCTTACAAAGCTTGGGTCTAGATTACTTGCAGGACCATTTTCACATAGCCAGGATACCAAATGTTCTTTGACCTTCCCTGGAGTATCTTTTGCAGGTCCTACCATAGATACATATACATCAGTGGCTAATTCTGCTTTTTCTGTGGAGGAAGCTAAACTGTAGTTCAATTTGCCTATTGGAATTGAGGGTGGCCTCTTCCTTGTTATAATATAAAGTATGGAATAAAATATTTCTTTTTACTAAGATTTATTGTATATTTATGTTCCAAAGCCACCTAGAGGAAACCACAAAATGGAAGTGGGTTATGTATATAAAAACAAAAGTGGTCAAGATATAAGTTTTGAGGTCTCTCTCTCTTTCTCTCTCTCTCTTTTTACTGTGTTCCCAGAAGTATATAAATTGGAGATTGCTCTCCCACATCAATGTCATTTGGGAGAACTTTAATGGAAAAATTAAAATATAAATATTTGAGAGTTTTGATTACCATAATATCTCTTGGTCCTAAAACTAGGCGCTGCATATTTTAAGAGCACCATGAAATTTTCCTAAACCCAGGGGAAGAGTAATTACAATCAATAAAGTTTTAGATTTTCTACTTGTCCTTTGTATTTCACATTATGCAGGAACTCTCAAAAGAGAGTCCCTCAAGGAAGGGCATTCTTTCTTATATGCAGTATCGGGATCTGTGGAATTTAGATGTAAAATAATGTAATTTCAGCTTGGTTATGGTAATTTGTAATCGACAGAATATTTTGTCTCTCCCTATACACACACATACACATGACTTGCCTTTTCAGTGTTTTTGTTTGGTTGTTACTGAATTTTCTTTTAACGAAAAATTCATGAGCAGTTAAAGCTCAATAAGTGCATGTATCAAGTGCATGTTTTATATGTACACATCTCCATTATAAATCTCAGGTAGTAATGTGGGGAATTAAAATAGTAAATATTGGGCTAGATGTCTTGATGATCTGATTCACATGGGTAGTTTTGTATACAATGGTATAGTGGCTTTACTGCAATAAAATGCAAAACCAGATAAATATTAGAGCCAGAATTCTTGAAAGTATTCCTTGTTTTTTATTGTTGCTGTTGAAGTTTTAAGATAGCTTGTAGATAGACACATAGTAAAAAAAAACCTGATACTGGGTTTGTATGACTTTATTTCTATATATATGTACAAACATTATGTGTAATGCATTTTTCTTTTCCCTCTGAATTTGTGTTTTGTGAAACCTGCTTTTAAATGTATGTTTAGTTGTTCGTTTATTTTCCCCTCTTTTAATGAGACTTGATGCAGGTTTTGTGGCACATTTTATTTCACAGATCTATTCAGCACACCTGCATTTGCTCTAAACCTAGTAGCTTGATGAATTGATAAGATAAGCTGGCCACATGCTTTTTCTAAAAATAAAGGAATGTTATGTATTTCTTCCTAAAGGTTAAAATTATTTCTCATGGCTCTTGAATTACCATATTCTGATACCAAGGGAAAATAAACCTCAGCTCAGAATCTTGTTTGTACTTAGAGGGCTTTCCGGACAGGAAGGCAATCTTGATGCAATGCAATAAACCACAATACCAGTGGGCATTACAGGTGAAAAACGTGCAGCTGTGCCCCATACCACAGTATATTACAAATACACAGTGAATATTTCCTGTACAGAAATAAGGCTTGGCTAACTTTGTTTCCCAAGAGGAGATCACATTAAAATGTTATAAAATCATGATTTCCTGCATTTGAATACTTGTGGTTTCTCAACTGGTTCCAATATTACAAAAGTTTTTTTATGGCTTCTATTAGTTGAAGATGTATAGGAGCCTCATTCTTAAGTAATCTAAAAGGCAGAGAGATATGTAAAAAAAGCTTTTTTTCAAGCAGACTTGGATTTTCTTGACATTTCAGCTATATAACTGAGCATTCCATAG